AACACAAATTATACTTTACTGCAAAGTCTCTTCATAATAAAAGTAAAAAAGTAGTACACGTGCTCCAGCAGTCCCCAGTCACGAAGGATAAATTTAGACACATTTAGAGACAAATTTAGAGCCAAATTAGCTCTAATCCAAAGCTATAAAGTAAAAAACAATGTGTCTCCTTTCTGCTGTTAGCGCCATCATTAGCGTTTTTCGTGCAGTCTAAATTGCGGTTAATATTTGACTATTAAGTGAAAATATAATTAACAAGTGTTATTGTGTTATAAAACAAAGTGCCATAATACGAAACAAAAAATTAAAGTGTCATTGTTTGATTTTCATAATAAAATATCACAACACATCACTAATCTCCTTTTGCAAGCAAGGTCAGTGGAAAGTCAAAGATTTATTTGTTTGAACGAAAAGCTTATTTAAGAAAAATTATGTCTAATGATTGTGAAAACTTTTGCTCATAAATTAATTAATTTATATTTTTTACACACAACAAAATTATTGTTATTTATTGATTTGATAAGGATGTTACTATTGTTACTGCTGTCAAGACCTGATAAGTTTCTTGCAACTATTTTTTTTTAGCAGTTAAAAGACGTCCTGAGTAAAGGCTAGTCAAACACCTTTTAACGACAAAATGTTTAAGGAGTCTTTGTAAACTTACCATATTTTTTAAAGTTCCATCTAACAATCTAATCAACATACTTTGGCGCAACAAATGCAAGTAATAATTTAACCGAATCATTTTTGTCATGAGGCCATAACGTTACAACTCTTGGCCCGAAAACAATATTAACAACTAGCTTACTTTATGAAGGTCATAGCATAAATGAATAAGGTAGAATTAAAAAAACACTGCACCAAGATATGGCAATAGAGCCCCAGTAAGATTATTTGAATTAAGAATATTTTAACTTTTACAAAATGAGATCAAATTAGCTCGATAACTGAAAAGAGCGGAACATTAGAATAAATTCCAAGCATCGATTCCTTGTCCAACAATATAGATAAATAGCGTATAGACTACCTAACAGCTAATTTTAGTGGTCTCCTACTAAGACTTTGCTGCATAAACACATGACATAATCCTAGGTGAAAGGTAATGTATTGCAGCTTTAGTGGAGCTGATATAGAGGAACTATCTTACTACAGGGTATGCATTTTTGTAATCCAGAATGATGTAATTATTAAAATGGATGTGACTTTTTCACATCAACACGGGATGGTTTAAATGGTATAAATAATTTTGTGATAAAAAATGCTCGTCTACAAAGGTTTCAGAAAGATTTCAGAATAAAACAAAAACAACAAGCAGATAAACTTCCCTTCGCTGAGACGAGAACACTCAGATGAGCTGGCGGTGTAACTCTACTGAACACAAATCCAGAATAAGTACATACCAGTTTACAGTAACAGTTTGCAATTACCGTCATCTATTCTTATCTGTCCCTGCCGGGTACAATGAGATAGACAGGAACAGTCTTTTGGGTTATGCCTCATATTCACCTCAGCATCGTAGACCGATCACATTGTGGCGTATTTACACAGGTGGATGACATCCGCTTGATGCCTTCTGGCGATTTCTGTTCCTTACTTTCATTGGTCGGTCGTTGTTTTATTGACCAATGAGATGAGCAAGCAAAGGTCAGACTCAGCGTGCTGATCTCATAGACCAGTATAAATAAGGCATTAGCCATTGTGCCATCTAGTTTCTCATAGCAAGCAATGCTTATGATGTGTAATAATTATTTTCCCGTTTGTTTGCAGTGCAAATTGTACATAATGATAAAGTATTACACGTTCCATCTCTGGTAGCTAAACGATATAAGTTATAATGTCCTGTATATATTTTAATGTTGCCATATTTAACCACCTACATATGATAAATGAACGATATTGATAGTAAATATGTAAATATGACATAATAAATATGTAAATAGTAAATATGACATCAATACGCGAAGAAAATACTGTAAAACACGGTCGAAGGTTTTACCATATTATTATGAACAATAAATATGTTTGCAGGGAAATGTTTTGTTCTGTTAATCCTCCATTCAAGTACGTTTTAATGAGAGCCATTTTTAATTACACTTATGATATCATTGTTACAACAATTACCGTTTAATATAATTTCTTTGCTTCACTTTAAGAGCATGCTTTTATATGTTTTATTTATTTAAGACAACAAACAGTCAACTTTTTTTACTAATAGACCCGACAGTTCCAAAATTTATTTTAGTTGCAGACTATTGAAATATCATTGACAGAATAGTGTGAAACGTGCAGATAAGCCAATATTAAAAAAAGAATGAGAAGACTATTGACATTCTAGATAACGTCATTAAACAAATAGCTTCTTAGATATGATTTTTAAAGATTTTTCTTCTATAACATTAGCAATAAATAAAATATCAACGTAATAAAAACTGTATTGAATAATTACTTTCAAAAGTAATCACTTTTTTATTTTCGAAGATCAATTTTCCGAATGTATTTCAGTAACTAACACTGACTGATATCTCATTTCAATACACGATTGGACATTGACATTTCAAATCACTTATCGCTACCACTTGAGTTATCATAAAAAAAAGTTGTACTTATATATTTACTTCGATACCGTAATCTGATAACTATTCAATACAATTCCGTGTCACTACACTTCTATACATATCATTGATAAGTTTGATAAAATTAAGACAATAAAAATAATATCTAATCTTAAGGAACTTATTAATTCAAAGGAAATGATCCTAAATTATTTGCCAGTTGCGTATTTAGTGTGGTTTTAATGATCGTGAAATAATTAAATACGTTTTAAAAACAATTTAAACACAAATAAGTACTTGAAGTCTATCACCTATCATTGTTTTGATATAGGTAAATTTTAAGACGCCATCACTACACTTCGTATTCTTATATATACGTTATAAGTTGAGACAATCAATATAAACTAGTTTGTGACTCATGACCATTGGTTGACATCCCCTGCATGCGGAGGACGAGCGATTCCTGTAGGCTCAGTTTTTTTATCGATCATCAAATGACCGGCACATGAAAATGAAGCACAGAAAACACAAGCGCCCGTATGCGGATTCGTGGAATTAATGCTTTTAAATTTGAATCTATCGCGTAAGAATAGGTGCTTAATGAAATTGATTTTGCTTGACATATTAATACCAGCTGGACGATTTTGCTTGACGTATTAATGTACGATCAATTAAATAATGGAATTCAAACATTGACATTTTTTGTAGATTTATTTATTAATAAAACGCGGTGGACACAGTGGCTTCCACAAAAATATATTATCAACAAACAATAAAAACACTTTTCAAAGAGAACCGACTTCAAATGAAAAAGTGATAAATAATACTTATTTTAAAAGCGGTTAAATTTTTTAAGTATAAACTATTGAAGTCGGGCTAAGATTTTCTGTACTTTATTAAATGTTTACCACTCCACTTCAATATTTCTTGAAAAAATTTACCGTTTTTAAAATAAGTATTATTTATCACTTTCTCTAAATTAGAAGTATCTTTGAAAAATGTTTTTATTTCATTACCTTTAGTGATGTTCTGTGTACTTTATATAAATATTATGTATAGGAATCACTAAAATATTAAATATATAATTATAACGAAAGGTCTGAAATTTTTATTTATTTGCGCGACGTAACTGCGAAGAAATCGGTAAGCATGCTTGCTTAAAAAATAATATAATACATATTATTGATAGTTCGATAGAAATAGAGAAACCTGAGGAAAGCTGAAGAAATACGAGGATCAGGTGCAAGACAACCAAAGAGTAAAGTACATAAGACAACTTTACTGACCATAGGACTTGCAAACCATAGATTTTTATTATCGCAGTTCAAAATTTAATACAAAATCTAGAAAGACTATATTTACATAAATATATAAAAATGATAATCTATGTACAAATATGATATTATTCTTAATACTCGTTTTGAACATATAAATCTTTTCTTTTGATATAAACATGGCATCAACATATTTAAGTGATTTCTGAGGAAAGGCATATTTTGTTTTGTTATAAAAAGAAAACCACTGATTCAATATCGATAAAATAAAATTGGACCACCTCGGCCCATTAAGCTGTCGAATCAAAACTCCGTTGTATTTAGATAATTCAATAGGTATAGTAACATACAACTGATATGCTTCATTGATGTACAGACAACAGCACATCAGTTTATACAAATCTTTCAAATTTTCCACTTTATTTCAGTCTTTAGTGTTTTGAGGTTAGAGTTGAACATCAACTGAAGTGCAGCCGTGTGTACCTGCGCAAAAGATTTACCACGCGCCATAGTCAATAGCGCTTCAACTACTACTTATAATTCTCGTTTCTCAAAAAATAATAAAAATACCTCTGCGGCGTAGTGAATGAGTGCCGAGACCCGCGACCGTTGTTGTCAAGCAACTTTCGCAAGAGTCGCTCACGGAATGGAAGACCAAAACATTATTATCTCGAGCTACTTCGTGATTTGAAGTGCATTTCAAGCCATTGGTCCTGGCTGCATTTGCAATCATTAATACCCTCTAATCTGCAAGGACCAGCGTGGAGGGTCATGGCCCATCCTATTTAACCATCCATTACCATCCTGAGCCCCTGCTGCGGGGACGTAAAAGGACTGATATTGATGATGAATCAAAAAATAATTATTATATCCGTCAACATTGATTTCTGAGGAAGTCATTGCATTTATATAATATTCAGCTACATGTAGATAGCACAATGTATTTGAGGCTACATCTCAATATTATTAAAATACGATTATTACGTAAAAAATTGCCGGATTGAGGCCCAGGTCACTATCACTTTGATTATAGCCTGTTTTTTACGTCCATCGTCGCCGCAACACTAATTAAGCGAGCGGCTCTCCGCCCAGTCATTTTAACCATTTTTCTTTGTCATCTGACATTAAAGAATTTTTCCTCATCGACGTCGTTAATACCAACCCAGCCATACTATATTGTGTTTTGCAAATTATCTATCGACTTTGTAAAGCGTTATGCCGCTAATTAGGTTTTCAATGAAATTGAATACACACTTTAGTTGTTTATCAAGTTTTTATTCAGAAATTTAAGTTCATTTAACGTTAGTTAGTTTATATAAATTCATTCGCTAGCGTACTGTCTAAACAACCTGCTTACAAATCCAGTCTTCGGGTCATCGGGGCCCGCCTACGCTTACTGCGGTCTTGACGTGATTATATACATCTTAAACTGGTCACGAAATTCATTAAAAAAGAAGTTACATATTTTATGACTAGCGAACTTTGATTGAAGCTGGCTTATGCTATTCTAATAATATTTTTACCTACTTTAGCCTGCGAGTCATTATTTTCAGAGAAACAATATCAATGAAAATTTTATAAGATTGAAAGATAAATCCAGTTTAGCATGCATTCTGCTAAAAGTAACAATTTCTACAACCCCAATGTATGCAACAACAGAAGTCACACCATATTTAACTTTAATTTAAATATTATTTGTTCTATTTATTCTATTATTTTACAAATATTGGAAGCATTAATTAAGTATAAATTTATAGAATCATTTACACAAATTAAAATATTTAGGTATGTACATTTTAATAACTAATGCACTAACTGCTACAATCCTGGCATTTTCCGTCAATACCGCAGCAAACGAGGCCTCACATTTGCGCCGTATCGTTTAATATACTATTAGATATATAATTATAAATAATTCTATAATACAATGGATCACCTTTGGTTGCACTGCTTATTGCTATAGTGAGTTTCGTAATGGCAACTACGTCAATTCAATATCCTTACAATACATATGAGAAGTAGGACACCTCATACTATAATCTCGCACAGATAAACGCCGATATCAAAATAATTACACCGTTATAACAAAGTAGAGACAAGAGAATCGTTGTAAAGTTTTAATCCTATTATAATATTAATATAATTTCAATAATTAATAATAATCATATAATTTACATAATTCTAAATAGAGGTATTTACAAAAATGCGAAATATATTGGCACTATGATTTATTCCACCAGACATACGTTCGACATTCGACTATTTACAATATTAATAAGTGCTTACAAATGACTAGAAAAAGACAATATTTGGCAGAAACCTTAGGCTTTGTTGTATGTGTTTTACAAATGCAATTATATAATTGTATGTTATTTATTTTACCTGTCATGTAATTCGTTTAGTTTACCTAGAGAGTGTTATATTTATTAACAGCATCTTATGTAATGTGTCAATTTAAAAAATAAAATAAATGTTTTGTAAATTTATGTTCAAAATAAGTACACCTTACAAAAGTGGACTCTACTTTAAAAAAAAAGTGACAGTTCATGGACGGATCACACAAAATAATAAAAGTTATTTACTTTACATAATAAATTTTACACACAACAGCAACCAATGTATTACTTTCAAATTACAACATCTAAAGTTGATTAAAATTACATAGTAACTACGTCAATCATCAATTTGTTTGCAGACTGTCAATAATGGTCTGAAGTTGAATTTAATGCAGGTAACCATATAATTTGAATATGTTACACTGAAAGACTTAAAAAGCTGAACGAAATTTTAAGAATTCTCGATGTTTCATACGATACTAGTAGCATTTTCTTATTTTTAAACAAATCAACATATTTCAGCAGAATAATAAAACATAGCTTAATAATATCCGTTCATACATTAATTAGTCGCTGTATCATAGTAATTCATATTTTCATAATTCAGGGTAAATTTGTGTAGAGATGCGGATGATTACGATAAACGGAGGTGAGTCGAGGATCCAGGTTTTGATATTCCTTGCCGGATCGCGGCCGTAGCGTGCTGGTCGTCTGCCTCACCACCCTGCATCACTCATGCTAGTCAGAATACTTTCATACGTTACCAAACAACATACTTTTAAAACAAATAACTCCTCCGATAAGACTTAATACATACTACTTGAATATAAAATACATTTTAAGAAATATTATTAATATTTCAACAAAAAGGTATAAATAACTGCTTATACGAGTTGTATCTGGTGTATGTGTGTAATATATGTAAATTAAATTATTATTCATTCATGCAATACGTCAGTACTACAGAATCACGCAAGTTTACAAAACATATAACTATTTATCAGATAAAAACCTAAATTACCTCATAGTAACCGGTGTGTCAGATGAAGAATGCGACGAACATATTGAAAGAGTTTCTATATAGTCGGACATATCAGACGTTCCACTTGATGTACTGTGTGTGTCAATAACACCTATAAATAAATAAAAAAAACGTATAAGAATGATGCTCTTCAAATAAAAAAAAGAACTTAAAGGAATTAATACGTTCCATTACCTCTGAGTGGTTTGACATTCAGTATAGGCACTTCTGCTTCTGCCGAAGAGGATTTGGCTGGTATGCGCACCCTTTGCATGGTAGCAAAATCACGCAGAGGATCTGTGGATTTAGAACGACGCGGTAACGACGTGTGGAAGGAGGCAATGGCTCGCCGAGCACTCCGGTAGTGACGTCGTGTAGCTGCCGTCGTCAGTGGTAGTTCAAATTCTACTAGCTCGGCCCCAGGGCGAAGTGAACAACTCGAAACACCAGAATCGTTCGAACTAGATGAATCTCTGTTTCCACTTGTTTTCCCAGGGACTGAAGATGATCTCTTTGCAGGCGGCGGGCCACGACCTCTGCCTTTAGATGCTTCAGAACTATCTGCATCTGAATGCTTGTTATCGGCAGTACAATTGCACTGAATTGATGTTCTGTCTCCTTCAAGAGTGATATTACGAAGGGTTTCGATAGATGATGTGGAACCCCTACTTCCTACGCTACCTTCAAACTCTTTGACATCTTCCAAAAATCGTGACGAATCTGCTGAGCATGATCGTTTTCGGTATTCTATTCTTTCAATTCGTTCGTTAGATGAACGCACGTCTTTCGATTCTTTACCTTCTGCATCTGACTGCCGTGTTTCATCTGGCCCACATAATGTTGGATTACTAGCAGATTTTTCTTCTAATAACCTGTTTATAGGACTTTTTGGTTGATGTTTAAGAGTATGGAATGCAAATCCACCTATCGGTGACATTGGTGTATAGCCAGGTGGTAAAATTTTTGATTGATCAAATTTATTATTTTCAATTATATTTGGCTCCATCATCAAATAATCTTCATGAGTTGTTTCGTTTTTTGTTATTTTAGAATTTCCTGCAGCAACTTGTAGATGGCCACATTTACAACATATATCATTTTCATGTCCACTTATAAAAGACGATGGCTTAAGATTTGCAGTTATTGCGTCTAGTTCAATTTGAGTTACACCTGCCTTTTTTAATAAATCTTTAGCGTTCTCGTAGTGTTCTAACGATAAAGCAAAATTAAGATTTTCATAATTCGCTAGGGGACCCTCATCTACCTCAATAGATTTAGAATCTGTATCTGGATGATCTGGCGTACTGTCGTTTTGGTAGTCACTAGAGTTTTGTTTTCTTCTAGTTTTCCGAGTTAAGTCAATAGTTGCATAAAGAGCACTACGGTCACTTAAATTTGGCTTCAAATTTTCTTTATTAGGTACCAAATTATCACTGGATATGGTATTTTTTTTGCAATATGGCAATTTTATCCAATTATTCGCCCAATCTGTTACCCTTTGACAAGGGCAATTAGCAGGTTGAAAATTTTCATCTGCATCTACAATAGTGGGCTCTCTTGGCTTTTTCCCAAATTTAAGTAAACATCCGCAAGGTTTCTTGAGTATTACGGATCTAGAAGTAGAACTTTTCGTAATCCTGAACAATTCATCATTAAGACATTCTTTTAACCTTTTCGGCGTATCGTAATACTCTCCCTCAACCTAGAAAAAAAACAAATAAATCGTTTGTTAGGCAAGATTTATTAACTGAATTTATTTTATACATCACGTTAGGTTTTTTGAAATTTATTGATATAAGTGACAGCTGGCTTACTTATCATTATATTTACGCTGCGTAAAGCTACATTTTCTGTATTATTTTTATAATATTTGATCACTGAATTTATTTTTATTTTATTTAGCCTTTATTAACTACAGCAACTTACCTCTGATGAAGGAAGTCTCGGTACATCGTAATTTTCATAAGGACCGATTTTTGTAAATTTGCTTTCTTCTATTATTTCAATATGTGCACAGCTACATGTTTGGATTGGAAGAGTCTTCGGGGGCTTATTTACGAAGTTTAATTCTAATCTTGTAGGTTTAGGGGGTCTATCTGGAGGCCGATCTAAGCAACGGCACAATTCTTCAGTCTTATTAGATTTCTTAAAATTAATGTCACAACTTTGAGTATTTTCTTTTGGAAGAGAATCTTTACGTGGAGTTTCAGGTACGGCTTCCATCGTCCACGCAGGGCTAAAATGTTTGGCTCCAGGCGTCAACGCTGCCGTAGACGATCTTGAAAGAGCACCAAGCTTTGATATACAGCTCATGCACCTTTCAAGTGAAACGTTGCCTGTACCATTCCATGGAGCGGTATCTGTTCCTTCTATCGTTTCATTAACTGAAGCAGTATCTGCTAAGCCTAAATCCTGAAAATTTGTTCTCTCTGTTGAGGGCCAGTACGGAGATATAGCTCCTACCTCTTCACCGATACAAGGATCTTCATAAAGCCTTAAATCCATCGGAGGAAGGGAGCGATCGATAGTATTTAGTTCAGATAGTCGAGTGTCAGGTCGGTACGCTTTATGAGACTTGGGACTCTCCGTACCTACGAAGAAGTAAACAAATATTAGCTGATAAGCTACTTAAAAAAGAATGAGGTTCATATTTTTTGCGATCAGTGATAAGACTTACTTTCAATTTTCTTGGAATTAAGGGGTCTTCTCTTAGGTGAGAGGCGGCCCTGGGAGGCGAGGTCGAAATCCCTAGCGAGCTGTTGCGCTTGATCGGTAATCAGTACGTGAAGGCCCTCACCCTTGCCACAGTGTGATCCACCCTCGAAGCAGAAACGACCCTCCACCACCCCGTATCGTCTAGTGCAGATATTTTTATTGATTAACATAATTTTTGTTTTAATACCACCCTATTCTTGTGATTACGTTTGAGAGGATGCCATAGAATAAGAACATTTTAAATATAAAATGTACTTATTCTATGGCAATTTCCCTCATATGTCAGTAGGATACAGTCTATCTCAATTATAACCAATTTTAGTGGAAATTTTCAATTTAATAAGACTAAACTTCATTATCCAATTTTATGTACATTTTATTACATAATATAGGTGCGCTAAACATAATTGCAGAAAAGAAAAACAAACATAAGGTAATAATAAATCACCAACAGCAGCGATCGTAACTGCATAACTTAACAGAATTACCATCTTACCATGATATGAAACGAGGCGAAAACTTTCCTTTTGGCATATACTATTTTCATTCTCATCAAATTTCAACTGTCCAATAGGACACAATATTTAATTCTTTTTGACTACGAAATCACGCCATACAAGTAAGTTTTCACTTTCTATATGTAAAACCTTAAAGAGAGAAATATATGTGTCCACTGCACTTGGTTAATGACACCGAGAGTTGTGTGGAAAGTTGGATGTTAGATTATTTGAGCTTTCCTATGGTAATAGTTTATAGGTATATAGGTAATTAATGGGTGGTACCTGAGGTGACGTAATTCCCAGACACCGAGTAACCGTGGTGGCACTCCAGCTGTGAGTGCACATCTCTCCTCGTGCAAATGCAATCGCGCTGGCCCTGGTGGAACACGTCGTGCACCACCACTACCAACTAGCACAAGATAATGCCGAGGCTCTCCCAACTGCGCTGACACTTTCACCTGCCAAAATCACTGCATCATCAACTTTCGGAAAATAATACTTTTTGGTTTATTATTTTCAGTGAATTAATTGCATATCTCTCTGATCAAGGAAGTCTCGGTACATCGTACATCTACTTCATTCAAGAACTATTTGTTACATCTTATTGATAGATGTAGATATGTTTCTTTATGTTATATTTAAACAAATTCAGAAGAATCGTACTTCTCATAAACTTTGTAATAAGTCGGAATATTAATCACTATTATTTATCGTTTGCTTTTCTAATCTTTAGGTTAAGTGAAATAGCTTGTATAGAACTCGAAAGAATTTTTATCGAGGATTAAATGCAGCAGTCGTGCAGTACTAGCTTCAATGAAGCGTGTAGCAAAAAGTCGAAGTGAACCGTCAGCAACGTGCAGGGGACCTTTTTGGAAGGCAGCCAGCGGAGTACTCCACATGAATATTTTGAATCAAATGTCTTTACTTCCTAGTTAAATTTTGCTATGTTACTTAATAATATGGTTAGGGTATACCAAAAATATCTAATGAAAGTAGACTAGGTAGATAACGTTATATGTACATTTACACCTTATTCGTTGACCTTTACTGTTCTTGCCGTTTAAAATTCTATACTTACAAATTGAATTATTAGCCACAAGAAACACACTGCCCAAAATGATCTTGTCAACTTTAATATTTTCTCGATCATTGAACCTTTTGTATGTTCATATAGCCCAAAAACTAACTTATTTAGAAGTTATCGCAAGTTTAATATAAATCAAAAATATTTTCAAAACTAGAGCTAATACAACCAAAGGTTTGACGTTTAACAAGCATCTATCACTATTCCATAAAAAAAAACAATATGATTAATCTGCACTTACCTGCCACTGTATAAGCCTCTCTCGCGTTTCGAAGGCCAATATAGCAACCAAGTCACGGCATACTAGAGCCAGCGTATTGGAATGTTTGTCCAGCGTGAAGCCCGACTCGCAGCCCAAGTACTGCTGCAGAGACAATGACGCCTTGCTTGTTGCACCGCCGAATCGCGCTCGTGAATCTCGATACAGCTGCAGGTGGACGCAATATCATCTCCATTTGTTTCTACATCCGGCGTTCCTCAGGGGTCCCACCTTGGCCCAATCCTCTTCAATATATTTATCAACGATGTTGTTCACGTCTTTAAACACGCTACCTGTTACCTGTATGCTGACGATATGAAACTAGCTATGCCAGTCCGCTGTAGTGAAGACTTTTCGTTACTACAGGAAGATTTGAACAACCTAGCCAGGTGGTGTGCTGATAATAAATTAACTTTAAATGTTGATAAATGTAAGCACATTCGATTTACTAGATGCAAGAACATAACGAGTCACACTTATGACATCGATGGTTGTGTGTTAGAGGAGGTGGACTCAGTGCGTGATTTAGGTGTAATGTTAGATAAAAAATTACTCTTTAATAAGCATGTGGATGCCATTGTGACAAAAGGATTTCAAATGCTGGGTTTTGTGCTGAGAAACGCTAAGGAATTTAAAAGGGCTTCCACTAAGGTTTTGCTATTTTCAACATTGGTACGCTCAATTCTGGAGTATGGCAGTCAGGTCTGGAATCCACAATATGACATTTATATTAAGCGTATTGAACGAATCCAGAAAAGGTTCATGTGGCATCTTTCTTATCAGACCCACAAAACTAAGGAACTGCATTCATACCGAGATCGTCTTTCTTTTTTTGGTCTGATGAGTCTGAGGGACAGACGATTACTTCTGGACCATATGTTACTTTATAAAGTTGTAAATGGATTAATCGATTGCCCTTTTCTATTGAGTCGCTTGAACTTTAATATTCCTCTCAGGCTCCCTCGTTTGGGCAGATATGTTACGTTTTCGGTGAAGGGTAGTAAAAGTAACCTGGGCCACCATGCTACATTAAATAGACTCCAAAGACAATTTAATCTGTTAAGCAAACAGCCAGAATGCCACGCGGATATTTTTTGCAATAAACCATTGCAATTCAAGCGGGAGGTGCGAGCTCTCATATCTGGACCTGTGTAGCAATATTTACTGTGCCTGTTTTGACATTTAATTTGACATTTTAATCATATTTTAATTTTATTTTTGTTTAGTTGTTATTATTGTCTACATTCTTTATAATTTTAATTAATTTATTGATTATTGCTTTTTTACACTTAATGGATTGAAAATTAATTGTTAGTAATTATATGTATTGACTTGTAATAGTATATGTATTTTTGACTTCGAATAAGTGTATGTAATCAGAAAGTGTTCTGTTATTTATATCCACGTTTGCATGCCGTGGCAACCTATAATTAAGGCAAAATTTAGCATCGATTTTATATTATAAGCACTGAATAATTTACTTATAGACGATTTGTGTCTTGTTGGTTGATCACATATATTGCTCAGACTCCAAGATGAGTAGTTAAAGCCCCCGTATTATGGAGTATCTGAGACAACGAAGGTACTACAGGTTCATTTTCTACATTGACCCGACCGGGAATCGAACCCGGGACCTCGGAAATGGCGGCACCTTGAAACCGGCGTGCGAACCACTCAGCTATGAGGTCAGCAGGAGGTCGTCTATGTCTATATGAGTATTTTTTTCCGTGGCTAAAATTAGTTCGTTTTACTTTGAAACTTTCATCGATAATCAAATCAAAGCCATTACAATTACGGAGACCCAAGATAATATAGAAAATATTATTTCTATCGGTCGAGAACCAAAACCGAGAACTAACTAATTATAGGCCTTACCATTCAACCGACGGGCAAGCTATATTTATACACAGCACGGAAGTTGTCAAAATTTCTCATTTCTGAAATATAAACTAGCTTAGCAAATACAAAAATCAAATAAGACCTTACACTTATTATCCGTGTTCTACAATTACCTACAATAAATTATGTGCGCCGTTACGTTAATGAATAACGTTTAATTGGCAATAACTTCAGTAATTAGTGACTCAGGCAACAACGAAATTACTCGGCCCAAGTTATTATGTTAATTATGTCACTGGAAATTGTATTCTTCAGTTTGTTTTTATGTGACGAGGACTCAACAAAGGGTGACGAGAGAGGAGTGAAGACTATTGATTCAAAAGCAGGATAAAGTAGGGTCGCAAGCCAAGTTTTATGGTGTTGAAAATAAGCCCGGGATCGCGTCACGATTGCGTCACGAACGCGCACTGCATCAACGGAGACGGGCACCAATTCGTGCTGATTGATTTGCCGCTTAGCTGTCAATACGACCCTCATTTTATATACTTTTTAGGCATGGAATAATAATAATACGTGTTTTGAACTTTGGGAAAAACAAATGTGTGTTTTTACAGCTAAATTTTTACATTATTTAAGTTTGCTGGTTGTCTTTTGTCACTTTTTTTGTAGGTAGTCTCGAGGTCGATCATGGTTGAATCGATATAGAAATAAATAATTCCTATATCGTCACGGGGGGTGTCGTGATTTACATACTGTGAAGTAAAAATGTAAAATTTATATTATTATTATTAACCTACATAGAATTGAGTAACTGGAACACTCTGTCAATCATTTGAATTTTGTTCTCAAGTATAATATTACACGACATTATTTAATTATTTACTTAATTAATATAACATGAAATAGAGAAATCAATGATTTCGAGTCGAGTATAAATTCGTTCGAGATTGAATACCCATAAATTACTTATTTTATGTGTAACACTTTCAATGTTGATCATCTGTTTCGATTAAACTCTACTATTTTATGATATAACTATGAGGGTATAAAGACATTTTGGAATTTAATCCAAACGACACTCGCTGGTCATAGCTCGAAATGTGCAAACATTATACGGCCATTGAAATTCGTTTACACCATTTTTGTATCGGTCAGAAAATCTCGCGGAATCCTCGTATTGTGAGTCAATGTGGTGTTAAAAATATGTTACCTGAACAGGTGATTTACTGAGACCCTTAAAGCGAGCCCTTGGACCCGAGCGATTTACCTCGCGTTGTACAATTTCACTTGCCTTTCAAGGGCGCTGAAGCGGAAAGTTATATCAAAGCGGGCCTTGAAATAATAAACGATGAACAATATCTTTTACGACCAAATGTTTACGACAGTGGCGATTTGAAGCCCCCTTATAGTGTTATGTTGCTTTGTAAGATGAAAGTAACATCTTTCGGATTGTTTGCATTGCATAACGATTTTATCATGGAACTATCACTTTTGTTCATCTATTTAGCTTCTTAAAGCCAAATAATGCTTAACTACGAGTAATTTGAAACACTCATATCTGAATAAATATCCAAAGGAAGGATAATTTAAAGCAATGTACTATTCTTTGGCTGGTTAATTTTAAATAATTAAGGGTTAGTTGCATCGTTAACTTACTTTCATAATAACAAATATGTTATAGTAATAATAATGAATTGTCATTTGGTAATTGTTAGATGACGTCATAACTATGATTGTAAACTATAACCGCCTTATTCTCGCTAGTTAAAGGTATTGTTTTACCAAGGAAGAGGATGATGCAATTCATTTCGTAGTTAATTTAAAGTCAGCGTGAGAGATAATTTCAAATTTGATATAAACCTTAACTTTAAGTCTGTCTATGGTGCAACCGAGTCTAAGAAAAACTTTACCATTTAAAAAAATATACTGAAACGTCGGTAATTATGAAACCTTAGCTTTTGGTTTTTTAAGGGTGATCTAACAAGGTATATATATTTATATCACAAATAGATAGTTATTATAGTGTTAATAAAACAAAAATATCAATTTCCGAGTTTCCGTGGGCATTTGCATTTCTGTTTTCCGTAAGCATTTCGAATTTGTTTTAATAAATGTTTTGCTTACATTGCTAGTCAGACTTAATGTCGTGATAAGATTTTTTTTTTTAAAACCCTGATCCTCACCAACAAAAATTAGCAAATCAACATTTATCACACTCAGATAAATAAATCCACTAATAAACATTTAGTAAAATTTGTATTTAACAGACTTTTATTAAATATTTGGATCACAAATAAAGGTAAAATAAAGGTCACTAGGCTTTATTTAGTGAAAGGCAGATGTTCGAACACCTGGTGGTGATGGCGTGAATCAAACTTCTAGCGATTTCTGTTTTTTTTTTTTTTTTTGATAGTTTGCTCCACTAAATGAAGTTCTGACTATTTTATTTAGTAAATAATTTTCAACAGAAACGCTTGCCCATCTTTATCGTAAGTTTTGCATTTGTTACAGCAGTGCTATTCCATCTACAATTCGACGTCCGACCCAGTGCTCTCATAGCATAGAAGTCCAAACAAATAAAACCCACTTCAAAAGGTACTAAAATTTGTATTTCATTGTAGCTCTATGTCGTACCAGTGCTACACTAGACATCTAAGTTCTAGAGAGTTTTTTTTTTTTTTAGTAGCCGATCAATAGATTCTGGACACGCATATAGAAATCCACATTGACTTTGAATGTTTTTTTTTTCGACTGTATAATTAAAAAAGATATTAAAGTCTCTTTCAGACATCGTCGTGTGTGGTCCGGCTGCTCGACAAACAGTTGGTCGTAAAATGTCTCTGCGACAACCGGCGTCTCTAAACGATATTATATCACCACACACGACGACACTTTGTATTTAAAAATTAATTTAGTTTAATATGATATGAACAACTGTTATCATATATTTTTTTAAATGCTTACAATTTCATTTTTGCAAAAAGAACATAATTTTTTTAAACTATAGAGCCATAAAATTGTTCACGTGTTATCACACAATCGGGCTAAATTAATTGACGTGTTCTTAATTATTAAAAATAAAATAAAGTGTGATGAAATCATCCATAAGTGATGTGATAAGAAACGCTAATGAGTGTGCAAGATATCCTTTATACGCAATACATATTATGATGTCTCTGCAAAAGAAAGCACGGTTAGTTAGGTAACTTTGCCGCTCCAAAGTCCTTTTATAGAGCTTTTTAATTTACTAACCTTTAGCAACAAACGAATACGTTGACGTTATTAGTGGTTATTACAGTAAAATCTATATCGGATCAAACCTTTTTTTTTATTAAAAAGATTAAATACTTGCATATCCATGTATTGTCGACAGTTTAGTATGAACTGTATATTAATTATTTAATTAAGAAATTAGCCAAGAACTTTATGAAAATACGTAAAACGTGACAAAAAACTCGGTCTTCTTATTTTTTAATTATTGGCTTTGCCTTTATACATTTCTTCAGAATCCAGTATTCCGCTAATTTTACATTTCAATAGACTGCTGTTTTATTTTGTGTGTGTAGTAAAAGCCCAAATCGAATTTTAAAATTGTTACCTGAAATAGACGTCTCTTCCACGTGTGTAAGTACGCTACATATAAAAATCAGATGTTGGTAAATTATAAGACAGAAAAATATCGGTCAATAATTATCAGTAACATGTCCCTAGCTGTCAGAACTTTGGTAATGGGCTGGATCATATAAAACAGCAGCTTTTTACTCACTCATATGCAGTTTTAAATAAAAGAAACATCTACAAATTACTATTTACCCCCAAAATATGGTCATTAATATTATATTTTCGATATTACAGTTAATCAAGTCACCGAATATTTAATCAAACGAGTATCAAAATTGCAATTAATGAATGCCCACGAGAACCGGCGCCGGCTTGTGATTTCAGACAAATATAGGATTTTAATAATTTTGTGTGAAATATTTTATTCAGCAATGTCCAATATTATATTATAATAAAACAATGCAATTGTTAGAATAAAGATTCATTTGCAATTCAATTATGTGGCAGTTGTACTGCGATGGAGAATAAAATATTGAAAAATCTTTATTTGAACTATATACTGTTATGTTAATCAATTTCGCATTCACGATGCTATACTGAAAAATATTCTTAATACAAATAATGCTTAAAAAATCCCTGACACCCTGAGATTGGATTCGAACCCACGACCTTTCGCAATCCGGGTGACTGCTCTAACCACTGAGCTACCCAGGACCTAACAGGACTGACGAATCTTTTAAGCACTTGTTACTTTGCGCTACTACAGAGCGCATTCTCATCAATGTTCAGGTACCCACCCAAACATCCGAAAGAAATATTATTGAGACCAGGGACCAAGTGGATTTTTTAAGCATTTTGTATTAAGAATATTATATAGGTACTGGTATTGAAAACTTAGAATCGGTTCTCAGATATTTACACGTTTACCAATTTTTATTATGAAGTGTAATTACGAAAATAAATTGTATAAAATTTATTTTTAAAGATAATTACGACCTCGTACCTTTCAAATCGTTTCAAGCAAAATATAATTCTAATTATTTTCGATTCCCAAATGGAAATACCATTTTCCAAATCGATTTTACTCATAGAAACAAAGTTCAAAAAAACTGTAATGAACCATGAGAAAACATTCTAAATTTCTAGAAAAAAGTTATTAAATAACATTTTTTGTGTAATAATCGTTTTTATCTGTAAAATCAATTTGAAAATTTTCTTTGAATTTGTGAATTGAATAAAAAATGAGAAATATATTAAATACCAACCTAAACAAAATTCATCATTACCACCTACCTTATTGTCCCCGCTGCTGGGGCTCAGGCCTTCCTTAGAGATGGGATCGAATCAGATCGATTACGGAATATGGCCAATGACCCACCACGCGGGTTAAGTGCGGTTTGGTGTGTATTAACGATTGCAGTTTCAACATCCGATTTCTGAATTGAGAATTTGAAGTTGAGCACGTCTCAAACCGTACTTAAGCCATTTTAAACGTCATGTAGTCAGATTTTCATTGCTGATTTTTTTATTTTTTATTAATCAGTTGATAGCAATTTAATAAAACTAGGACTTTTTGCCGTATGTAACGTAAAAAACTTAAATCATTGAGAATCATCAGTTGATATTTTGTACTTTTCTCAAATCAGAAACCGGCCGTAAGGCATAAGCCCTACTGCGATGAAACGCAGTGGAGTCTGCAGGTAAATTCTGCTAATGTTTACTGTTACGTATCGCATCTCAATAGAATCACAAGGACTTTCATTTTACCAGTATACTCTACCTGAAGTCAAATATTATTAATGCAGTGTAAGTTACAGATATATTTTCAGTTTCTTTTTGTTTATTCATCATCATCAGCCCTTTTACTTCCCCACTGCAGGAGCTCGGGCGTTCCTAATGGAATTAAGGATCATGCCATATGAGTCTCCACGCTGACCCAATCTGGATTGGAGGGTATTAACGACTGCAAATCCAGC